ACCTTGTCTGCATGGCAGTTCTCAGAGCAGGGAGAAGTAGTCAAGGAAGTCACATGGGTCAACATCCTTAAACCAATGGCTTTTCTTTCTTCCTCTGGAAGCCAACAGGATCGGGTCAATACAGCTAAACCCCATTCTGAAAGGCTCTAAATACGAGGCAGGACATGAGGCGTAATGGAGGGCTTTGGGGTAAAGGAGGCTACCCTGGCCAGATGCCCACACACGTGGCCGAGGGTCTCAGCCCTAGCTGTGCATCCCAATCACCTGCAGCGCTCTGGGAACCATCACAGACGCCAGCCCCAGCCTGGGCTGTGGGGTAGGGACCACACATTCGTATGGTTAAGGGGCTCTATCGGTGGTTCAGATGCACCACAGGGTTGAGGTCCTTTGGATTAATGTATGAAAGCGGTATGGCTTCAAGGAGTGACAAAAAATCATTTGCAGATGAACATTTATCTACTCCATTTCAGAAAGCCTTTTCTAATTCAGCATCCACAGGAGGAAATGAGTCGATGTGGCTAAATGCAACAGCAATAGCAAATATGGTCTTTTAAAAAAAAGGCAAAAACATGTAAAAGAAGTTCAAAGCAGACAGTGGACCTGAAATAAATATTTACATGATTTGACCCCCCAAAATCAATTCCTTTAATAAATAAAAAGCACTTCAGCTCAGCAAGAAAAAGACAAACATTCCAAAGGGGAAATGGACAAAGTGCATGCATATCTATTTCATAGGAAGTTATACAAGTCATGAATAAATATGGAAAAAAAAGTTTGACCTCATTACTAAACAGAGGAACTTATCACACGAAAACAAGGTCCCACTTTGGTAAAGATCTATGCATAATAATGCCCAGTGTTGAGGGTGGGAAGAAATAGGAATACACACATACTCTTAGGGAAACTATAAATTGGTTCAACTTTTCTGGTGGGCCATTTGGCATTATGGCATTATACGTTCATGTTCCCTGATCCGGGGAGTCTCATCATGTCTATGAATTCGCACTGAGGAAATGACTCTCTGCAGACACACAGGGTTATGCACCTAGATTCACCTAGATTCATTGCATTATGCACCTAGATCCACTGCGTCTTGATTAAAAGTGAAAAAGTGGAAACCGACCACTGCCCATCAAAGGAGGCAGCCTCGTGCAAACTGTAATGCATCCATTTGAACGAATGAACATCCACCAGAGATTTAACATCATTTCCTTAGGAAATGTTTCAGGCCGTGGGAAAGCCCGTAGACTAGATTAGGTGGGAAAACCAGCTACAGTGATAACACACATACAGAATTGGGAAGGAAAACGGCTTCAAAGCATTGGTGGGATGATGGGTAAGTGACAACGTAATTGTCTTAAAGGAAAAGCATCCGAGCTTAGATGGTGACATGCAATTTGTAGGTGACTATGGAGGACGACGGGAGCCCCAAATCCCTCTGTAGAGCAGCTACTCAGAGTAAGCCTCTGGCCGATCCCCTCTGGCCACAGTCAAGGGACACGGACGGCTTTGCTATCAGGCAGAGATAATTGTAAACTTTATTATGGGGGAGGGAACCATGGTATGATATGATAAACTGGTCAGATGACCTCCCTCTTGACCCAACCAATCATGCTCCAGCTGGCGTGTTCCACGACAGAAATGTCCTCTCTGGCTTAAATATATATATATATATGGTGGTCTTTTCTTTCTTACTCTTTATTTTTTATCTTTATATTACTATTATTATTTTTCTTTGCTTTGTGCTTTTGTTTTTGTTTCTATTAGGTCTCCCAGTTTATGAAGCAGAGAAGGAGTGGATGCACAGAGACAATAACCATTGGGATGGTTTAATGGGAAAGTGGAAGGGAGGAGGGGACTTTGGGTGCAAACAATGAATGCAGGAGGCCGGGGGAGAGCACTAGAACTGATTGTGATGATGCATGTACAACTCTTTTAAAAAGTGACTTAACTATGGAAATCTATGATATGTGAAAATAAATATTATAAAACTTTTAATTGTCTTCTCGATTTTTTTGTTTTTAGGGGGGGTTGGGGTTGTCCCCCACACCAATTATTTTTATAATTTAAAAAAAAAGTACTCGTTATTATTTCAAAGGCTTATCAGATCATGTCAGGAAATGTTAGCTCAAGGGACAAACTAACCCTCGGAGGCCAGGAAGTCAGAAAGCTTTCAGGTATGGGGCCAGGAGGAGGTAAGAAGAGGTGGTCAAAGTGGGAATTCAGAGAAAAAGAGTCTTGATAAGCACAGTCCAGGAAGGTAAGCATGAAGTATAGGGCTAGTTACATTTAAATTAAATTAAATGAAGAGTCCCGTCCCTTAGTCACACTTGCCACATCCCATGGCTCACTGGCCACGAGGGTGAGTGGCTACCATGCTGACTGATGGTGGCTGCTGCTGGTGTTGGCTCCAGGTTCATGGCAACACCTTGCATGATGGAAGGACATGCTGCCTGAGCCCACCCCATGCCTCGACTCAGACCCAGCGACACACAGGGTTTATCATTTTCTGATTTGGGGTAATTCTCAGGACCTTTCTTTCTGATCTTAGTCAGGAAGCCTCGCTGAAACCTGTTCAGTAGCAACACCCAAGCCTCTGCTGACTGAGGGCTGGTAGCGGCGCTTCAGGTGCACTGGCCATGGAGTCGAACCCATGACTCCTGTATGGAAGGCGAGAACCTCCAATGTCCCTGTGGTACCTGTATTACAGCGTGAATATGGAACAATTCTACCATCACAGAAAGCTCTACCGGACAGTGCTGCTCTGAACCTTCTACCCAAGGCCCAGGAGCTCAGCTGTTGGTCCATCTCTTCAGCCTCATCTCTTGGCATACGGTCTATGTTCTCCAGCAATGTTCCTACAGGCATCCGAAGGACAGAGACCATGTTTGTCTGGTTCGCCCCGTCGAGAAGTGAGGACGTTGGTTTGAGGAATAACAGGCAAGCGCATAGACGGTAGAGCTCTGCCTGGGGTCCAGGGAAGGCTTCTCAGAGGAGGAGGGCTAGGCATTGCCAAAGAATAAGGGAAGAAGCATTCTAAGTAGCAAAAAGAGCATGATATGAGCAAAGGCATCGCAGAGGGAGGAATTACCAGCTGGTCTGGAGTTTTTTCATTCAAAAGATGGTGCATGTCTCCAGTGGGCCAGGCCCTGGGGACAGAACAGGGCGCAGGACAGGCATGGCCTCTGCCCTCATCAAGTTCCACTCCTCCAGTATTGCTGGAACACCGAGATGAGGCATGGCAAGGCCAGAAGAGCTGAGGATGGAGAGAGCAGGGATCCAAGACCTCCCACCTCATGCTAAGAATCTCAGTGTGCTTCTTGTCTTAGGGAATGCTCTTTTAGGCCTGAGTGCGGGGAGAGTCGTGGGGGGG